ACACAAAGGCATTACAGTAGTCTTTATATGACTGATGTGAAAACTAAGTTCTTCTCACTAGAAATTACTCTCTGAAGAATGGATAAAAATGTTTTGATTTGTTTATTTTTTTTATTGTATGGAATATGCTATTTGCCATAAATGAAATCTTAGAGCGTAACAGCAAAAATAAATCTTGAAATTTAAATCCTAAAGCCAAGCAGCTATGATTAGAAACATTAAATTGTGTGGGTGTGTGATTGTGTAAACAAATACCAATAACATATCTGTCTGTCTCATCTACTTGTTTATGTGAGCAATTATTGTATCTTTTCTGAAAATGTGTATCTTTTTTTTTGTATCCAGATTCAAATCATATTCCAGGTGGGTTAGAGAGCCCAGGTACACATGTCAGGGCTAGACTCCAGGTTAGACTGGCACACTGCTGGGCCAACTGCTGGACGGCTGTCTGCCATGGCTGAATACCGCCCCTGCTAGAGATGCTTGTTCCAGCTACTGACAGAGCCCTCCCATTTGCCCTGCATCAACTTGGGCAGGCAGGAAGGCACCACTGGGGATGGTAGAGCAATGAGGAGCTGCTGTGACCACAGCCTGTGCCAACAACCTGGCACACAACCCACCCTTCGCCCTTCCTCCTCACTTGGCACTGAAATCAGAATGTACAAGTGTCTGAAATAGACTGAATACTAATTCTGCGAAGTTTTCTTATTTCGTGACCATAATTTTACAATTTAAAATTTAATTAGCCCTCTGTGCTCAGAAAGGAAGGTATTTCCATCCCCCCTTTACCCCAAGGACACCAGTACATAGTTTGGTAGACACATTTATGATACATCAATATAATTCCAAATGTTCAGAAAGAAACTGTGCAGAAGAAATTGAAACTATACACTACAAACAGCAGTTAGCTATTTTATTCTAAGTAAGCATTTCTGAGTAAGATAAAGGGGCTTTAAAGATGTTTGTAGAAAACCTCCAGCAGCCCACATGCATATGTGCGCACCCACCCATGTGCAGACACACACACACACACACACACACACACACACACACACACACACACACACACCTCTTCAAGTTGATGAGAACATTTCCTACCAAAGCAGAGACCAATTTTAAAGCCCCACCATAAACACAGGAACCTTTATATGTACCGTGTAAACAGATCCCGTTTTTTTTTGTTCCTTCAAGAGCTGGCTCACAGTCCACATTTTGTCTCACACCTTAGCTACATCCCCAGGTGAAAGAGCCAATGACCTTATTCTGCTCAGGGATAATGCAACATGGGAGTGGATTCTGAATACCTCTGATTATCCTGCTGGGACTGCAGAACCCAAAAGTCATTGTTGTCCAGCAGTAAACCCATGACCAGCTCGAACACCTCTCATTGGCCTTCCTTCTATCAGAATCTTGCCTCCCACTAGGTAGTGTCCTAAAATATTTAACCCAGTTTACATTATAAAGGTCAAAGTTAGAACAACAGTATCTATTTCTGGGCTAAGAGAAAATGGAAAAAAAAAAAAAGCTTTTTTTTTTTTATTTTCTAAATCTTAGATTCCTATTCCCCGCCCATTGTCATATCTTCTATCCTCTTTAAATACTTTATATACATTAAGGACTCACATCTGGCTTATTCTCTTTCCTGAATTATCACAAGGTTTTAACACTTAAGAAACATGCCCACTTTGCTTATTTATTTTATATTAAATGACTGGCAAAGCCAAAACTCTCCAAATGTTCACCTAACAATGGAACCCCAAACTAGGAATGGACTGACATACATAAACTGGTCTTATTCCATGATAGTAATAAAGACATGTACATAAATGGAGCTAATTTGTGCACCCTATTCTTTTCATAGAGTTATTTTTAGCCTGTGACTTCGACATGCATTTGGTTTTTTAAACAATGTCACACTTTTATATAACCATATATTCAAGGTCTTTATCATTCAAGGAACATGAAGGTTGTGCATTTAATCTTTAGGTTGGTTGTAGAAGATATGATTCACAAAGTAGGATAGATAAAAATAAGCCTGCAGCAGTATGGTGCCGCATCATCAGAATTCACCATCTTATCAACAAATGGAAGTCATTCTTCTTTATTTCTTAAGCGAAGCAGTTTCATAGAAGATAAATAGCTTTCAGTCAGAATAGCCTAACACACAATATGCATCTTTTTGACATGTATATTCTAACACTACTTTATACCATAAGATTAAAATAAGAGCAATCTCGGGGTTATGTGTTGAAAGTGACACAAGTCAACTCTGCATTTTTCTATTATTTGTCTCCTGAAAGTAGACTCTGTATGGATGCTTCTACATAAGAGGCAATAGTTGAGTGTTCAGCATTTCTTGACTTTCGAACACCACATTCTAAGAAGTCTTATGCAGGGAAACAATTTCTGGCATTTATCCTCTTTACATGTCCAACAATGAACGTCACATGATGTTTCTAGACAATTGTATTTTGTCTTCAGATACCAGGAAAAGCTGGAACAGACAACCTCATAGGCATAGGAGACTAAGTCCTGGATATGACTTGAAAAATCTACTTAGCTATTCATGTTTTAGCTTTTCTATCTTGCAAATATTACCCTTTAGGAAACTGATGAAGTAGCAGAAAGTTTCCCTTTTAAAATATTTATTTTTTATTTTTATCTTTACTGGGTTGCACATGCAGAAGGTGGAACTTTGAGCTTTACAGCAGTGTGCCTTTGATCACAGCCCTACCTCTCCTTTTTTAATCTATTTCTTTGAGTTCTTCAAAATTCATTTCTGATTATTTTCTTCAGCTGGAAATAGGACAAGATGGGTGCTTTGAATTGTAGGAGAACAGCAAATATTTTCAAACATTCAGTAAACACTCTACTCTTTCCTTGTACTTGATGGTCACATTCTTTTGGAGATTGGCTACATCACTACACATGATCAACATGAGACACCTACAGAACTAGCTTCTTACATTGTTTAAATGAGGAGCCATGAATGGAAATGACAGAATGTAAAAGAACCTGCCTCATCTACCTAAGAGATTCTCTGTATCAGTTCTCACTGGCCAGTTGTATCTGGGCTCACGCTACTAAATAAGCTGTCTAGTTGTCTAAGTCAGTCTCTGCCTACATTTGAGACTCGATCCTCCTGTGCTCATGCCCCAGTCCCCAGAACTTCAAATAAAACTTTAAAAACCAGGCCTAGAATGATTTCTACTGATGTTGGGTTAGTCATGTAAGCCAAAGATGTTGGGAAAGGAAAAATATCTGTGTAAACCCAAGACTGCAAGTATAAAAAAAAGGTAAGAAAGATTCGAAAGAAGTGCATGAATTCTTACCACATACAAAACAAGTATAGACAGACTATGCCTCAGTTTGGTAGGACTTTTTTTTTTTTTTTTTTTTTTTTTTTTTTTTTTTTTTTTCGAGACAGGGTTTCTCTGTGTAGCTTTGCGCCTTTCCTGGAACTCACTTGGTAGCCCAGGCTGGCCTCGAACTCACAGAGATCCGCCTGCCTCTGCCTCCCGAGTGCTGGGATTAAAGGCGTGCGCCACCACCGCCCGGCTGGTAGGACTTTTGAAATGAGGTACAAGATAACCCACAAAGGCAGTCAAGAGGTCTGGTTGCTATATACAGGTTGCCTCCTTGATCACCATCTGAACTGTTTTTTCTTGCAATATTAATAATCTCAGCAATGCCTCTCCAACATTGGGCTGGAATCTTAACTCAAATCACTAGAAGCTTCTGCTCAAGATACAAGGGACTTACCGCCTCAGATTCTCACTGTAAGTAGGGAGATTAACTGTCTATCTGAGCTCTGAACAGCACCAAGGAAAACAACAAACATGAAAACATGGGATGAAGTTTTACTAAGAGTATTGTGTTTGAAGAAAGTGGTTGAAAGCTACAGTTAGTTTTACATTTGAAGAGAAGACTAGATTGGATGGTTTGAAATACTTTTTTTTGAGCTTTGAAGTTAGATTCCATTCTCTTTTTGTGTTTTTTCTCTTTAAAAATTGTTGGAGAATTCCATACATGAGTACATTGTATTCGCATCATTTCCACCCTTCCTCCTCCTCCAGCGGCCACCATTCTCTCCCAGCCCCCACCATATCTATAATTATTGTACACACACACACACACACACACACACACACACACACACACACACACACACACAATAACAACAACTATACATAAAAAGCTATGGAGTCTAATTAGTTTTTCCATATTTGCATGTGTTTAGCAAAGAGGCTCGGTTCCTCTTTTCTTCCATTACCAAGTACTCTGCAGTATTTGGCCTTCCCTAAACTCAGGGTTTGGGCGTTTGACTAGATTTAATAGAAATAGTGTTCTGAATGGGCAATTGTAAAAATAAAATCTACTCCAGTTTTATAAGCCCAGCTGGCATAACTTGTACTCAACTATAAATGAATCTGCATTTATTATTTCATCTTTAGTTTATATTTACAAATACAGAGAGCCGTCTCTGATAATAAAAGTGAGTGCTGAATATTTTTGCAAGCTATTATAACATTTACAGAGAGTACTATAAACACATGCAAGATGTGACTATATGGTAATGAAATGAATTTTCCTGTGTTGTGGGGAAAGCCCATTAGCTCAGAGCCAGGCAGTGTTGTTCTAGGAAGACATGTATGGCATTTCTCACTAATGGCTCACACTGTCCCTAAAAAACTTGTCTCTAAGTCTCTTAGTGTTTGAGAATACAGGCATCCACTGTGTGTAAATTAATAGCTTAGGAGAACCAAAACAAGAGACCCAGTAAATTTTTTCCTTTTGTAAGAATACAGTGAAAATCTTTTCCTAATTATACATTTTTGCCAGAGTTGTATCAGATATTATATAAAAATTCTCTGAAGTTATAGGGAAGAATGCTTTATATGATTCTTAGTAAGTGACATTGGGGCTTTGCTTTTAATAATTTTATTATTTATATTAAGGCATGATGATCAGGAAGGAGAAGAATGGGTATGTATACTTACTCTCCTCATCCAGGAGACTCTCAGCAGCAGAGAGTAGCCTCATCCTGTCTTCTGGATTGGCAATGTTTAATTCAACAAGATGACTTTCTTGAATATCCTTCAAGTCTTCCAGGGTCTCATAACCATTGAGCAGAAATGTTGAAGTATATTCCTGTAGGAAGAGGGAAATGTGTATAACCTGTAAACTAGTAAGGCTCAAATATTGTGTCTTGTCTAAATTAGTAAATATAGAAATGCCTATGATAACAAAAACACCAATGGAACTGATGCCTAAGCTTATTTTGTTTACACTAGTTCCCCACAAACAAACTCTAGGGCATTTAATAGGAAGTACTGTAGATTCTTAACCTTCAGAAGGACAAATGTAAAGAAGTAATAATCACTTGAATCTATAATAGTGGGAAATCATGGATCATTTACCAGCTGAATTGTCCATCCCATTTGGCACTTTTACTTTATCCCTAGTTAAATTGACACAGTATTTTCTGAAGTTTTTCAATACAGTACCTCTAATAGATTAAGTTATAGTGATATTTCTGAACCAATCTCTCTTTTTGATTGCTTGGTCATGAAAACATATACTCTCATTAATTTCCTAGTGTAGCTAAAAATGAACTTGAGCTCCACTGAGATGGATCAGTAGATAAACTGCTTGCTGCCTAGGCTGATGGCATAGATTGGGCCCCAGAACATAATGGTAGAAGAAAAAATTCACTCTTGCAGTTGTCCCCTACCTCCGCATTCACACCTTGGCACATATCACACACACACACATACACATACACACACACACACACACACTAAATGAATAAATAAATGGAAAAAGTAAAAATGAACTTGAAACAGACACAATTCTGTATACAGAATGAGTTTAGCATTTTGACTGATTGAAAGATATTATAGATCTAATGCATCACAAACTTGCTATTTCATTTCTAAATTAAAATTTTAATTACAAGTGAAAAGCTCACAGTTGAAGAAAGTGTTTATTTCTTTTCCTCAGTAGGGATATTTTGTCTATCATTTGCATCAATATCTATTAGTGTAAAATGCTTAGACTTCTGATCATAAAGTATTTCAGTGGTTCTCAAACTGTGGGTTATGACCCCCCACTGGGGTTGTGTATCAGATGCCCTGCATATCATATATTTACATTATGAGTCATAACAGTAGCAAATTTATAGTTAGGAAGTAGCAACAAAACTAATTTTATGGTTGAGGCACTACAACATGAGGAACTATATTAAAGGTTTGCAGCATTAGGAAGGTTGAGAACCACCACTCTGGTATTTCTATAACCACTGCTCTAACAGACTGAATATGCAAAGTGAAGTTAAATGGTTTTTCACTTTCCTCAAAAAAAGTCTCCCATTTTACTTGAATATAGTTTTAATATCTTTATTTCAGTTACTAAAATTGAATATGGTATCAGAAAGTTTTAAGTAATCAGGAAAAACTTACTGCAAACCACATTTTAACCAAAAAGGGGGAAGAAGAATGATAATTTGTTTAAAAATAGTCTGTTTTAGAAGAACACAGCATGCCCAAGTTTCCATTATTACACAAGAATCTAACTGTGACTTCCTGAGTACAATGTTTAACACACTTAGATCTTTTTCCATGGGTGACAGAGGCAGGTTTCAAACTGTATTTCCTCCCAGGAGTATCACATGGTACCAATCATTCTATGATGAAACTTAAACAGTATATTGGTAGACATGAGAGTAACTTAATAACTCAGAGATATCAATTTAGAAAAATTTAATTCCTATTGTCTTTATGAATTGCAGTATCCAAGTACTGATGAGTGAATTTTACAAATGGAATGTAAAACTGAGAATGGAGTGATACTACTGATGGTGTATACTGTACTATGTAGCATATTATACCGCTTAATAAGAGCTATTTCTTTTAATAGGTACTAATATAATAAAAATAGGGTTATAAAAACAGATGATTGGAGTGCCAGTGATAGGTGTGATGGGATCAAGTAAAGTGCTTATAAACTTATAAAACAAACTTTTCTTTCTTTTTTTTTTTTTTGTTTTTGTTTTTTCAAGACAGTTTCTCTGTGTAGCTTTGCGCCTTTCCTGGAACTCACTCTGTAGCCCAGGCTGGCCTCAAACTCACAGGGATCCGCCTGCCTCTGCCTCCCGAGTGCTGGGATTAAAGGCATGCGATAAAACAAACTTTTCCTTGAAATGATCCTTAGAACACTAATGATCACTGTTTCTGAAATTACTTCTGAGATGATTATTTTTAGTTATTCTCTTTGCACTTCCTTTTGATCTCTTGGTCCGTCAAATTTCACTATATTCTTCATATTCTCTTTACTGTTCTCACTTAAACATTTTCCCATGGTCTCCCATTCTCCTGGATATACATTCTTTAATTGTCATTACCTCTTCTCTACATTAATCTCTGCTGTCACTGGCTGCTAAGTACCATTAGGGATTAGTTCAAAGGGTGTTACCTGTCCTTGCATAATAAAAGTGATAAAGGATAAATAAGAGCTGTTCTAGGAAAACAGATTTTTCCTTTGCTGTAAATCTTATATTTTTAAAAACCCTGTGTAAATACTGGTCCACTCTCCTCAACTCTTCATTCTACCCGTTTTTCAGCAAAACCAAACAGACCAAAGGTTTACTAACCTGAAGGTGAATCCTCTCTAAGAAGTCCTGCAGAGTCTTGGCACTCTCTCTTTTATTGCTTCTGGGCGCCTTTATTTTCTTGGGAGCTGCTTCCTCTTCTGAGATAACATCCACATAAATGAATTTGAAGTTCCCCACTTTATTGTTCAGCATCCCTGTCCACATTCCCATCGGTGTTTTACAGATAATGTCTATGATGTCTCCTTTCTAAGGACAAAAACAAATAGAAGTCAAATTCCACAGCACCACAATGCTTTGGTAATATGGACAAAGAACAGAACTGTAGGAATCTTCGAGGAAGGAAGGTACTGTGCTACAGGTCTTTAGAGACTACAGAAATAGATAGGAGTTCACTTCTTCAGTGACAGTGTTCACTATGGAGCAAAGAAAACACCAGCATGCTTGATGATGCTTTTCTTTTCCTTATCATATTAACTCACTAACTTACATTTGCAGAACAATATACATGGTATACATGTTAAATGTACTATTGTCTTATGCTTACTAAATATGTATTGGGTAAATAGTATGAGGCATCAGACTATTTCTTTAAGTGTTAAGTGACTTTTCTCTAGCCTAAATGAAGTTAAAGATGGTGTCAGAACTCAAACTCAAGTTTTGTGAGCTCAAAAAGAATCCCTTTTTATTCCCCCTCCTAAATCAATATTGAAACATGCTTCAATAAACCATCATTCAAACAGGCTATCTTAAAGGGGAAGGAAGACACTTGGACTCTGCCTATGATTTTAGCTCATCTGATATAGTTTATTTACAGTATAAAATAAGTCCATGTAAACTGTTTTTATCAAACTAAAGTAATGGGGAAAACTATCTCTCTGGCCTGGGTGGAGACCTAACTTTTCAAGGTACTCAAAATATAAAAGGATTTATCTGTTTGGTCTGGCCAATCATCTAGCCAAAGGACTAGGAAGTGGGTTCACCTTAAGCTGTGCTCAAGGCAGAAGAGAAATAACGAGCCCTTTAGTGAGCTAAAGAGCTATTGCTCCCTATAATTGTCACCTTCCTATAGCACTGCAGACAATTTCTCAAGTCTGTCTGAATTACTCAGAAAAACACAACTTTTTTCTTTTCATGCTCTTATCTTTTTCTAAGTGTGCCTTCCCTAATACTTTGCCTTCTTTCTTTCTCTGCAGTGCCCATCTCTACCATGTGGTTGCTTTTCTGCCATGTGGGTGACCTCCATGCAGAACGAACTCAAATGCCATGTCTTTCTCTGTTCCTCTTCTTCTTCCCTGTAGCTGGGAATACTTACAACGTGCTATGCTGTTTTTTTCTAAATTACAATAAAATTTTCTTAAATTTTGAGATCATTATTAATTCTTTTATTAATGGCACTAAGAATTTCATGTAAGGGCCTCAATTTCCCAGGTAACATGTTGTGACCTCATTGGGATTGCTCAAAATTTATGATAACATCAAAAGGAGATATTATATTGAATAAAATCCACAACGAAGTTTTCAGTGAAGCATGAACTAGGCAGATTGATATGGCAAAACCAAGTAGCATTTTGTGTATTCATATCTAAGACTACATTTAGCTGTAGAATGCAATTATTGGCAAGAGTAAAATTTCTCCTGGGGATATTTCTTTCTGAGGAAATTTCATTTCTAGGAAAATACATGCCTATTTTATGAGTCATATTTACACAAATAAGAATCATAGTTACTCTTTTGAGATACAACTTTACATCCCCAAGAGATGCTATAGATCCCAATATTTGCTACTTTTAAGGCTCTATCCTTAAAGTTATGCTTAAATCTATATTTTTATGCAAGTCTGTGAATGTATAATTGACATGAAACACAAATTTTATTTGCTATAGTAATATATAACTGAGTATGATTGTGATTGAAAGATATGATCTCTCTGATTTGGTATAGTATGTGTACTTGTCTGCCTTCTGGGTTTGGGTCTAGGTGTTTGCACTTTTCCCTGAGAGAATGTATTAACAGGTCAGACACCATCCACCTAGGAGACCAGCAATCTCCCTAGGAGCTCTAACAAGTTTCTAGGTGTGGCAGTTCTTCACTGGGTCTTTCCTGTCAGATTTTACACTGTGGTCTTGTACCTGGTAACTTTTAAACTTCTACATTTCAACAAAGTTAACAGATGACCCAAGCAAAGAATGTTTTCTTCCTCAGGAACTGTGGAATCTTTATTGTGTTCTATGAGAAATCAAGAAAAATCAACTTAATGGCACATAGGCATAGTTTCATAGGGATGTATTATGAACTATGTTCTACTAACACATGGGGGCTTTAAGAAGGACTTCAAATCCTAGGGAGATCATAGCAGAGCTGGCAACCTGACTTAGGCCAGGGGTATCCTTATGAAGAAAACAGCTGAGCCATACACAGGTTTATGACCTACAAAAACTGTGATTGAATTAATATATGTTATTGGAAGCCTCAGAGTTGAGGGTAATTTGTTGTAAGGTAAAATTTGGCGTGGGGTTATCAATTAGAAAAGTGCTCTGGTTACACAATACAACGCAGTTAGAAAGAACTGGAGTTGCCCAGCCACATCTGGATCCCCAAGCCTTTGCTCTGCTGGGTTCCTGCCCCATAGTTCTGTCTTCTCTCCCTCTCTTTGCTCCATTATTTTTAATCTAGCTGGAATCAGGTGGGCACGACTAGCTGATGACCTCTGAGAGTTTCAGAGTTCAGAAAAAAGCAGACAATTTATCTCTCTCCCACAGACTCTACGCTTGTATTATCTTATACTAATGGCCACAGTAGACTGATCCCTCTCACCCCCTCTCACACTAAGTTCAAATTCTTCCCATTGGGGGCCGGTCCAGCCTACTACGAGAAGAACATACTTCCTGCAGTCCCTAAAGTATATCGTGCAACTAGCATTGACAAACCAGGAAGCACATGTAATGTGGGCCCACCTTGATTTTGAGGGAGTCGGTGTCGTAAGGACTTGGTGTGAAGTCTGTGTGCACTCTGGCCCGGCCACAGAACGGCCCTGAGTAGGGGCTGTCGTCATCCAGCCGGAAACTGTCCCTGTTACTTGTTCCATCTGAACAGCTCGTTACTCCACCTGGTGAAGGAAAGGTTCACAGTTCTCATGGAAGGTTCTCAGCCTCCTGCACCTTGTCTGAAACTGGAGCAATGGATGTCAGCCTCTTCAAGCCCCTCATCAAACTCCTTCAGTAGCTCACTCTTCTGAGCTAGCCCTGACTCTTTTCCCTACCAGTCTGGATACGCTCCTCAATCCTATTCCAATACCATCTCATTTTGAACTCGATGATCTGAGCTAGCTTAAAGGGCAGTAGGCAGTGCCCAATTGCTGCATTAGAGCAAGGCACAGGTTCAAAACTTGACCTAGACAGATAATTTCATACTCAAAAACTAAGATAGAATTTGATGGACACGGTTTAATTATTATGTATTATTATTGATCATAAATGCCCAACACATGACACTTCAGGGTTCCCTATAACTTACATAATTGTAATAAACATCCTCTCCAGAATTATGAATGTGTACAAAGACTGTGAGAGAGAACTTACAAAGGTGATGCGTTTGCTTGTCATGGGGTGGAGAGGAAGATTGCCCAAATATCTGAACCTCCATGCTATACTAATCTGCCTGTATACTCGCTTTCTGGTCCCCTTCCTTTCTGGTCTTGAACTTCAGGTGTAAGAAAACAAAACAGAACGAAGCAAACAGGAGGAAGCATTCCCTTCTGCTCCAGGTTGTTTCCTTTCTGTGGTGTCAATCCTGTTACCAATGGAAAGGCCTCCTTGTTCCTCCCTCTCCCTCAGTCTCCTCACTTCCTCCTTCAGACTGACCCTTTGCTGCTGGGGGAGGCAACAGATGCAGCTGCAGTTTCACTAGGATGCATTATGAAATGAGCTAAAAAGTCCTACAGGACATTCCACGTTGTGTGTGAACAGAAATGTGGCATGTAAGTGGGACACCATCTCCCCATGCCTCCCTTCTGGATGAAAGTGTGGGTGCAGGCTTTGCCTCATGGGTTCGAGTAATAAAATTCTTCCCACATTTAGTATCACAAGTTGAATGTGAAAACTTCCAGCAGAATGGTTACTTATGAAATCTGAATCACACACACACACACACACACACACACACACACACACACACACTACATCCTCCAACTGTTTCTGCGTTAGTTTTTCACCACAAAATAACTGTCCTACAGCTAATATGAGTAAAATTGAGGATATTTAAAATACAGGCTTTTTGGAAGCCATCTTCAAATAACAGAAGTAGTTGACTGCAAAGGAAAAGGAAAATAAACTTTGCAGTGACATTTGAAAGTCCTGAAGAGACTGGAGGGAAGCTAACAGTTTACATATAGAAAGACATAAGGCCCCAGCACCATCAGTACTTTCTTGTAGCTGTTGTAGCAGAAACACGTGACTGAATCTTGTGTAATGACCTTGTAGACAAATATCAGTGTTGACTCAGCAATCCTTCCAGCTGCCTGCTAATCCTCTTTCCCACCCGACTGGTGACATATCTATCATGTGGTATTTAGTCATTGCTTCAGTCTCTACTTACTTATGGTAAATTCAAATGACAGAACTGAGGCAAATGTCCTGCACTTTGCAGAAAATGAGGAAATTTTTAAAAAGAAAGAAAGGAAAAGGAAGAAGAAGAGGAGGAGTGGGAGGAATGAGAGGGGGAGAGAAGATGGGACAAAGAGAGAAAGGAAAAAGCAAAGAAGGAAGATAGAAATAAAACAGAATTTTACTTCTCGATTTCAAATAATTTTCTATCTTTTGACTCAAGATAACACCAGGTTTCCTGAGCATACAATTTTGACATCAGGTTTAATTATCAATACAATTTTTTGAGGCATTTTCACAAGAGCCCTGCAGGCTATAATGTCAACGTATACTATCCTATGTGTCACAATCAATAACTGCATGGTTATCCCATGTACCCAGCCTCTTCAACTTCTCTATCATCAAATGTCTTCATCTTTGTTTCTAACCTGGTAAACAACCTCAGGCTGACCATGCATTGTTTTTTAACTGGTTTAACTCAGGCTTCATTTCTTAGATGTCACCCCTTATGCATCAGCCTTACTTGAAGAACTCTGCCCACTGTAGAGGCTATCCATAGAGTCGCTGGGTTTGAGGGAGATCTTCTCTGTATGTGTTCCAATCATGGGATCACTGTTCCGATATGGGAGGGCTTCCTCTCCATTTTCCTCCTCCTTCAAAACAAAACATATCAGAGGTTAAGTGTACAGATCAGATTTCCATGGAGATGTTCACTGTTCGCACTGACTCTACAAGCAAGACACATTTAAACAATAAAAGACTCATGAATACATCAGCATAAAATATGAGAGTCATTAATCTTCAGTTCATTTTCTAGGAAAACAGTTTAGAGGATATTTGGAAAAATTCCCTAGATGAGACATCGTTTAGTGTGGAATTCAACTGCAATTATAATGGTCTGTTTTTGAAAATAAAGATGAATATCATATCAAGATTATTTAATCAGAAATGTTAGCCGTGTTGGCATCAGCGCTTTGTCTAAAGTGCAGTTACTTCTTCATGTTCTCGCTCTTATCTGTTCGCCACCATTACTAATCCTTTGAGATCTGATACTACAGGTTTGAGCTCTGCACATTTGTTTCATGTCAGTTATTTGCACGCTACCAGATCACTAGATATGAATAAAACATGCTCACTTTGCAATTCTAAAGCAAGCCTTATTTCAGGAGCTTTACAAATCTCATACTGTGCTTGCCACCTACTCAAGTGAAAAGCAAATCTTGCATAAAATTAGAAAAGACAGACAATTTCAAAACAAATTACATTTCCTTGAAAACATCTCAAATGTTTGCCATTTTTAGAAAGTTTGGACAAAGCCTATGAATTTCTTAATACTCATCACATTGTAATTCAATAGTCTTATTTTTGAGCATTACTGAGCATTGATAAAACTTCATAATAAACATAGACTTAGTTTGATTCTCTACTTTTATCTATTCTTTATTCATTCAGTTATTCAGGGAATGTTTATAAAGCACAGCCTAGATACCTGCCACCTTTCTAAAATCTGTGGCTACTCTAATAAACAAGATCACAGATGAAAGGTTTTTGCTCTAACAAATGATGTTCTAGTCTCAATGGGTGAGGCATACTTTATAAGCTTTATATATCTTTAAGGAAGTTGGACATATGTACATGGAAATATTAGCATGAGGCATATAAGTATTGTAAAGGAGATAAATCTATAATTTGAGGGAACCAGTAAATTGGGCAAGAATGAAAAAGGTTAGTTTATTTAGGTGAAATGAATTCCAAAGACTTCAATTATAAGGAAGAAAATGCCCAGAATCTACTTGAAAATGTATGAAGATAACCTTTTAGAAGATGTTGGCCTGAATTATGAGAAAACAGCACTTTGTTTTCTTCTGAAGATACTTTTCTAAGCCAAAGGAAAGATAAGAACAAAACTAAACTCATAATTAGCCTTGGGTGTTCAGGCCAATGTCATGAGAGAAAGGAGGGAATTGCATATTACCTCAAAGCAGTGGTTGAGAGCCAATTCATGAAGAACACTGTAGACCACTGTGGTAGCCATGGGAACATGACACCTAGATCTTAATGTGTGTTGTGAGAAGCACATGAACCTTGGGTTGGACACTGAATGCTATGATTCCAAATTGTTTGTCATCTCCCCAAACTCAACATGTGCATTAAATTTCCACTGTGAGGTATCCTAAAAGGGGAAACTTAATCTGACTTTGGTGTTTAGAGGCACAGCCAGTCTGACTTTGCTGTTCAGAGGCATGGCCTTTGGGAGGTGATTGGGATTAGACAGGTCATCATAATAGGGCCTCCCCAACTGGATATTGGTGGCTTTACTAACAAATGGATAGACACTAAAACATCTACACATATACTGCATTTGTCACTGTGTGATAACCTCTGTTGCCTTGTAACTCTGCCACCAAAAAGGTCATCACGAGATGTGGCGACCCAATCTTGGGTCATAACTGTGACCCCAAATAAGGCTGTCTGTGAATAATAACCAGTCTTTTGTGTTATGCCATTAGCAACAGAAATAGGACTAACACACCCTAGTGGTTCCAGTTATTTCCCTTTGTATCTACCTGTGTGTTTGCACTGAAGCCAGACCCTCACTGCCTCTCAGTAGCTGAATACTTACCAATAACGTTTGTGCCTGTTCTGGTGAGGAGAACAAAGGAGCTCATCTAGTGGGAAGTTTTGGTTCAAAATCCCCACAGATCTAACCAAAACGTTCTCAGAAGAGAGTTGAAAAGAGAAACTCTGATACTTTTCTTCTCTCCCTCTCTTTTTATAGATGTCAGCCTTGTATTGCCATTGCAAGGCTTGCCTTATGCACTTCCACTTCTTAAGAGTTCACAGGTGCTGAGAGTTGGCAGCACACCTTTAATCTCAGCACTCAGAGGCAGAGGCAGGTGGATCTCTGTGCGTTTGAGGCCAGCCTGATTTACAAAGAGAGTTCCAGGACAGTTGGGCTGTTACACAGAGAACCCCTGTCTCAACAAACAAAACAACAACAAAGAGTTCACAGGCATTTCCCTAGGTAATCCTTGGTGTTTCTTTCATGTCTTGGAGGTCTGCTCCACAGAGGACCAGCTAGAGGACACTGTAATGAAGGAATCCTTTACAAGACATTCTGAAGTTTTAATCTGGGGCCTGATGGGCCCTGTTCCTGCCTTTCAGAGATCTTTTCACACTTTCTTGTCCAGAAAGGATCTTATTGGAGAGACAATCGACAGGACTTAAAGGTGGCTGTGGTAATGCAGGCAGGGGAGGCTAGCGACTTGGTTTAAATCAGGGACAATTTGAATAGAAAAAATAAAGTTTTTTCCCCAAGACAGGGGTTCTCTGTGTAGTTTTGGTGCCTGTCCTGGATCTCACTTGGTAGATCAGGCTGTCCTCGAACTCACAGAGATCCACCTGGCTCTGCCTCCCAAGTGCTGGGATTAAAGGCGTGTGCCACCACTGCCCGGCTCAAAAAAATAAACTTTTAAGTATTCTTTGGACATTAGAAACAAGAGGATAATAATGATTATATTATGATGTGTAATGATAATTATGTTCAAAGTGGGAGAAAGAATTTGGAGTGATTCTTATTTCCCCTTACTTTTTCTTTGGCATCTAGAATCATGAAAGTATGATCTTTTGCCACTGGAAATAATAGATGAGAAATAATTGTTTACTGATAGAAATGTTGAGAATTTCAAATTTTTAATATGCATAGGTTGTGGTATCTATTGGACATTTCTGTGATACCATCAAATTTGATTTAATATAACAAGTAAGCGAAGAAGTCATATCTAGCGATACTTTGAAAAACAGTGGCATAACACTATCTAAGATCACAAAAGAGGAGAGGGTATATTAATGGAGCATCCCGTATTTTTAGAAGCCTTAAGAAGACTTAACATTTAGAGAGAGGGAAACAAAAGCAAAGCCAAGAAGAGTTCTGTGAAAGAGAAAAGTTCAAAGAATGCTCAAAGAAACAAATAGAAAAATTTGCATGTAAACATGTCATCACATGTGTCTATAGCTAAAAAGCAAAGTGTCATTGTGTTTGGCAACAAAGGGGTTATCACTATTGTGATAGTATTCTGGGGACAGAATTCAAGTAGAGGAGGGCTGAAAGAGAAAATGGGCATAAGACCTATGGACTGACAATATAGACCTGAAAGTTTATGCATACACTTTAGATTTATGATCTGTATGTTTATAACAATATTGAGTATGATGGTGAGGTGACTTTAAACATTGCTGCCAAGGCAATGTAATGGGGAAAGAAGAGTTTTCAACAAGTGAAGCTGAGTCAACTAAATATTTCCATAAAAAAAAGGAAGTTTTACTCCCCCGAAACACCAGATAGAATATCTAACCACAAATGGCTCTTACACTAAAATTTAAGAGCTAAAATTGTAAAGCTGTAAGGAGAAAGGCAGAAGTAATCTTCATTACATTGTGTTAAGCAATATTTCAACTATGATGCCAAAAGCAAATAGCAAGAAAAAAAGAAATTGGACTATTATAAAATTATAAATATTTGGGATACAAAGAATGCAATAAAAATGAAAATATGATGCACAGAATAATAGAATATACATTTAGAAGTCATATAATGGATAAAAGACTCATTCAGAAATTATATAAACATTTAAGACTTATTAAATGACAATAACCAAATATTAAAAAGCTGACAAAATATTTAAATAGACGTTTTCTGAAGAGAAATAGATAGAAACAACAAGCACATTAAAAGATCTCAGTATCATCCATTAGAAGAAAAACATAACTGAAAAATTACAGTGTGAATCTACTTCATCTGCACTAATGGCTGATACTTAAAAAAAAATACCACAAGCTGACATGATACAGAAACATTGGAGCCACTTACATATTTATATCGGCTAAGTAAAATTATGCATAGTTTTGGGCAAGCAGTTACCAGCTTCTCAAAATATTAGATGTAGATTTACCATACATCAAAAAGAAACAAAAAATATTTTCATACAAAGAATCACACACAAGTGTTTACAGCAGCATTAATTATATTATGTCCAAAGTAGAAACAGCCTAAATACCCACCAGTAGATGTGGAAAATGTAGACTACTTATAAATGAAATAGTATATGGTAATAAGAAGGCATGAATTACAGGTGCTTGCTTACAACTTAAACAATATACTATTCTTCACACGCTAGATGTGTGGATTTTTTTCTTTAAAATGGGAGTAATAATCATTTAAGAACCATACAACTGGGCCAAGCAAATAGCTCAATGGGTAAAGGCACTTGTTGAGCATGCCCGAGGATTTGAGTTTGATCCAAGGAACCCATGTAAAAGTTGAAGAGAGAGAATAGACTGAAAAGTTGCCCTCTGATGTCTGTGTGCACCCTGTGGCACTCATGAACAAAAGAATACAGTTTTCTTTCTTTCTTTCTTTCTTTCTTTCTTTCTTTCTTTCTTTCTTTCTTTCTTTCTTTCTTTCTTTCTTTCT